TTCTCCTCCTCCTCCTCCTCCTCCTCCTCCTCTTCTTCCTTCTCCTCCTCCTCCCTTTCTCTCTTCTCCTCTTTCTCCTTCCCTCCTTCCTCTCCTCCTCCTTCCTCTCCTCCTCCTCCTTCCTCTCCTCCTTCTCCTCTCCTTTCCTTTACTTCTCTCACCTATATTCACTCTATCTGAATTTAAAAAAAAATCCTTCATTTACCTGGGTCCTGAACATTTACTCCTATGTTTTCTTCTAAGAGTTCTATGAGTTTCTTTTTTTATGTTTAGGTGTATACCCCTTTTGAGCTAATTTTGTTTAGTGTAGGCAGGGAAGCCCAATTCATTTTTTTTTTTTTGCAGGTTAGCTTCTATTTTGTCTTACGCTATTACTTAAAGACACTATTTTCTCCCTTGAATGGACTTAGATACCCTTGTAAAGCCAACCATGACACATGACTTTCTGGACTCTTGATTCTGATCTGTGTCAGTCCTTATCCTAGTCCCACATTATATGGATCTGTAACTTGCAGTAAGTTTTGAAATTGCTAAAGCATAAGTCTTCCAACTTGTTCTTTTTCAAGATTCTTTTGGTTTCTGGGGTTCCTTGCAATTGTGAGTGAATTGTGATCGACTTTTTCATATACAAAGGACTACTAGGCTAGTGTTTTAATAATTCTTGATAATTCGCTGCTTTCATGGACCTCTGGGGTCTAGATAGTCTTCTTCTGGGCATATTTTAAGATCCTGCCATAGTGAGAGCCCCTCACTAAACAGCCCAGTGATCAGTGTGGGCGACAACCTGAAGAGAAATTGTCAAGTAGCCTTCCTTGAAAGTGGGATTTGGATATTGCCCAGAAGATTGGACAGAATTAGTTTCATGATGTTAGGCAAACCTACTTCCAAAGACATATATTTTAGGTATATTTTAAAATCTTGTTAATAATAGACAATTATAAAATGTGTCAATGATAGCAAGCTTGAAGACCATTCAGCAAGTCTGTCTCTTTGTAGTGAGGAAATTTAAGTCTAAAATTATGGGAAGATAGCTAGTCCTGATATGCTTTAAACTGTGTGCCCTGTATCATGGATTCTCCATTAATACACACTTAAATATTGATTTGAAAAGTTGTATGGGGATGTCTTTTCTCCAAGCTAACAAATTCCTATCTCAAAATAACACATACTTCTTGAGGATCTTCATTACAGAACCAATTTAACTAACATCAGACAAGGCCTTCAGGAAGTTAGTTTGAAATGGACAATCATGGAATGAAGAGCATTTGGGATATGAAAGTATCTGGCTTTTCTCATCAAAAAAAAAAAACTTTCTTGCTTCCTTGTTAAACAGATTGTGTTTTTTAACTTTCACCAACGTCCCCTTTATGATTAATTACAAAATAACTAGCTTTACAGTGATGAATAACTCATCTTCATGGGAGTACCTGCAGTAGAATAATTTGAGACATTGTTATATCTTATCTTGTAAACTTTATAGAAATGCTAACTTTATAATTAATAGTTAGATGAAGATGATAACAACATCTATGGAGTGCTTACCATGTGACAGGCACTATCCTATAGATACAGGTAGATAATAATATGTATATTCTATTCTTCAGCATATGTATTGAAATTTGTCATTTATATTCTTGGCAACCACAAGAGGTAGAGGTTACTAACTATATTTTACATAGAGGCACAGAACAGACAAAACTCTTTCCTAGGCAATATGGCTGTGAGTGGAAATGGATTCAGACTCAGATGGTCTTAAGTCTTGCAGGG